ATAAGAATCGGAATTAGGTTCTCAAAGGACTGTAAAATTAGATTTTTAGGATAAGCTTAGTCAGCGAAGTCAGCAAGTCAGCCAAAAACGCGAGGCGGAGTGGTGAATACGGACTGGCCATTTTATATAGGTCTTTTAAATGTCAGTGTGTGTCTTATTTTAAGCATGTGATCATATTTCCTTTGTTTCTACAAAGAAATGAGATTTAACTTGCTAAAAATTAAACATTTCCTAATATAACTGTTAAATGTTAACTTATATTCTTAACAATCAAAAGTACACTCACAAACTTAATTTCACTAGCTCTTCTAAATAACACCCCGAGGTGGGCAGGGAACATATTCCTGTTGTGCCTATGGGGAAACTGAGGGCGAAAGATGTCACTACAATAAGTGGTGTCATCGTGGATTTGCTTGTGAACCTCCTGACTATGCATGTTCTTTTTATGACTTTTGAATTGTCCTTTACTTCTTGCTGTAGTTTTTCAACACTGTACATTGTGTGCTTTTTCTTTTTTTGAACACAGTCCTCTTTCTGGTCAGAGTAAATATATCCTTTGGAAAACAGTAGAGTTGATTAGGGAACTTTTAAGGCTCCTTTCAGATCCCAGAGTGTCTGGCCAACAAAACTTTGAATGTCAACAGCCACTTCGAAGTTCTCTGGCAGATACGTGACCACAGATCTAAGATAAGATTCTACTTGTGCAGAAATGGAAAGGGCTGTTCTCTGTGTAGCACGTGGATGCTGAAGTTTTATTCTCCCCATTAAAGCCCAATGAGTCTGCCCTGTCACCTCCAGTGGGAGGAATAAGATTATGTCTAGACTAGGACAGAATTAGGTCTCCTGGACTAATTGTATCCCCATTTATCTCTATTTTTGCAGACTCGGAGGGAGAAGGTAGCCAGAGACAGTGTCATCAGAGCCATACACTCTCACTCTGTGCCCCTTAAGTGTACTGGCTACTTCAACTACTCCTTTGAATCCAAAGTAATTTGTGATCACAAATCTATGTTCTTTTTTTTTAATCAATTTTGATTTAGAATTAATTTGATGACTGTTGTAAGGCTGATCCATGGCTAAAGAAGGAAATAATTTTCCTCTAAGTATGTGCCTGCTTCCTCAGAGCTTCAAGTCCAATGTACAGCAAAAACTCTCTCCTGGCTGCAGGCCTGAGTTCCACGTGGCAGGCTCCCTCCATTTTTCCCTGGCAATTTCTGACTTGCCACACACTGAACCTGCCCCTATCCGTTTTCTTGGGAGACACAATGTTCCTCACAGTCTTTCTTTCTTTAGGCAGTGGGTCTGAATTCTAGTAATTCTGCTTAAGGCTATTACCTCAATGATAAGCCTGCTGTTTGTCCTGCCTGGCCACACCTGCCACTTGCCCTCAGGCAAGACAATTCCTCCGCAGAATTGCTCATACTCCAGAGGTTATCTAGAGATTTGAGGGTTGAATGTAAAGCCTTAGCTTTTATCTTCTATCACCTTTCCAAACGGGTGATCTTTGATTAAATGACTCTCTCCTCCCTATCACCACCTGGTGCAGTGGAACAGTAAAGAAAGAAACATTCCTGTCTCTGTAAACCTCTGCTCTGACAGAGAAAGTTGTTCATAATACCAGCTTATACATCTCTGGGTTTCCACATTTTCTGAGAGCTACCAAACGAGCCTTTAGTTGTAAAGGGTTTGGATTCTACCATGATCATTAAACCATGAAAATAAAGAACCTTTTCAATATCCACAACATGGCAATAAAGTCTAGGCAGAATGCCTCAAAAGTTGGGCATCACGTTTTCTTTGGAGGGTTTCCTCATTTGAACTAAAAAATCCTTTCTCTAAAAAAAATGCAGTGACCAAAAGATGAAATGTGGTATTAAAGAAAACCACACACCACGTCTGGCGTTTCACAGACTGGGCTTTGACTCAGTCTTGCTGGTTTTTAGCTGCTGTTTCTCTGAGTTGCCATCTTTGAGCGTACTAAATGATGGGCACAGGTCATGTTTTACAAAGCATGGCTGCTGCAAAGAAAGAACATTGGACAATGCACATTTCAAGTAATTTGCCACACAAATATTGATTGTCTACTTAACACATTTATCTGTCAAACAAATATTGCCCGTACAATGCTGAGATGCTGAACAAGGTGCCTAGAAATGAGAGGGGTTTCAATGTTGATTTTGCAACGATATAGAATTTTCTATTTATTCAAAATTGGTTTACATTAACCATCTTAGCAGTTAAAGCTATAGTTTAAGGGTGAAAAATTCATGCCTCCCATCTCATAGTAAAACACAAACAAACAAATCTGAAGCACAAAGAGATCAAGTTCACAGAGCAAATGGAACACAATTGTCTTGTTAACTAGTCAGACTTGGGGAATCAATCTTACTATAAGTCCAACAGGACTTAGGACTATGATTATACCCTAATGAAAGTTCAAATGCATAGTTCTTCATGTGTCCCTGTAATGCAAGGATGTTCATGCAAAAGGCTGTACATAATGTTTCTGAAATATCCCTACCTAGATCATAGTATGATTTGATTTCAATTTAGGAGTGTGTGTGTGTGTGTGTGTGTGTGTGTGTGTGTGTGTGTGTGTGTGTTAAAAAAATGTATGGAAGCAAGTTCTCTCCTTCCACCATGTGGTTCTTGGCGAATTGAACTCAGGTCATCAAACTTGCCAAGTGCCCTTCCCCAATGAGCCATCTCACCAGACCTATTTTGTTGTCTTAAAATCAAATCTCATTTTGTTGAATTGATGCCGCTTCTGTGTTTAGACAGGATCTCTTTGTAACAAATTCTTCTTGCAAGCTTTTGTGAGCCTTACTATTTGCCTGATTAGCAAAGGAGACGTTGTGAGAGCACATGGCTTTCCTGGGCAGGAAATACCCATTCATCCAGAATGTTCAGCACTAAGAGGTTCTGGCAAAGCAAGTGTTCTAATTGCCTCAGACTGTCCATATTTACAGCCCCCAGCCTCTGGCAGTCCACAAAACCTTCTAGGGAAAGCAAGAAACACGGGACTATTAGGTGTAACTTTGAACACACATGAAAATTAGAGTCCATTTGTAATAGGCTCTGAAAGGGGTGTGGGCAAATACTCAGATTGGCTCTGATGCTTAACGGAGAGTTATTACTGATGCAACCTATGCTTTCAAATACAACGCAACACACAAATATCTAAACCCCGGAACAGGCTTAAATCTGGTTAGCAGAAAGCACATTGGTGTTTCACAGTGTTCTCACAATACTTAATTTGAAAAACAATTGACAAAAAATAAGGCTATGGAAAAGTTGTGGTCACGTTCAGTCTCTAAATATTTAAATAAAGAGAAAGGGCATGTTCATTACACATATCTTGCAAATAGCCTTGCCATAAAATAACATTGAGAAAGTAGTTTTAAAGGTGTATAGTTTTCAAGTTGGGAAAGTTTCATCATGAGGCAGTGCACTGCAGTACTAAAGGACATGCAAGGACCTGATCGACTGGTGTTATTATTAGTTTTAGAAAAGATTAAATGCAACAGAAGGGTCTGGAATATGAATTGGTAAGTAACAAACTTGCTATGAGGAGTTGAATTAGAATCTCCAGGACTCATAGAAAATCAAGTGTAGTAGGGGTAGACATGTTGAATTCCAGTGCTTCGAAGACAGAGATAGATTGTAGAAACCATGGAATATGCTCCTACACATACAAACACATATATGAGTGCACACAGGAGCACTGCACTGCACTGCACGCACGCACACCCACCCATCTCCTTCACACATCCGCAGTGCTAATGTAGCCAATTTGGGGGTTTGCTTTAATTCTTTGTTTTTGCAAATTTCATGAAACTTTTTTTTTTTTTAGAACTCTGAGCCATAGGTTTTTGGTTTTAATTTTACTAAGCTCATAAAATCATAGGAATAAAGGTTTAATGTAGCCGACACCATAAAAATTTCACAACACTTTTTCATTTACTATTAAATGTCAGAGGAAAATTGTTCAGTCCATTACAAATCTATCCTTCCTTGTGGATCAAGTCATGACATAGAAAGATCTATTATCACTACAATAAATATCCTTATTTATTGATTTTATTTGAAATCAAATTTTCCTTTTAAATTATCTTCATACAAACCAATTGTTAAGGATCTCTGTATGTAGGGCAGTCTGACAGACTTTGTGTGAAAAGCCACTGCATTAATTTTGTTTAGCTATGTGGGATTTCCTTCTTTTATTTTTTCCAAAGGAAGGGAAGCAATAGTGTATTATATTGCTATGGGATTAAAAACCTATAGTCTGTCAAATTAGTGTAATTGAATTTCAGTCTGCCTTTTGGTTTTGGAGTCTGCAAATGATTCTACACTTTGAAGGGAAAAAAATCATATAATCTTTCTATGTTTTTATGTGTGTTTGGAGGCCATCTGCCGAGCTCTGTTTTATACATTAGCCCTCTTGGCCAATAGTAATACACACAAACTCTTTAAATAATAAAAAGAAAGTAGTTGTGTAAACGGACTTGTTAGCATTGAAAGAGGCTGTTTTTCCCCTCTGCACCAAGTATGTAGCACTGCAGGACACTGACTCATTCTGAACACGGTAAAGTGATTTTTCTTTCTCCTTTATCATCAGATTTCAAAACGGTACTTTTCTCAGCTGTTCCATGTCTGTGGAAACAGAAAATTACTTTTTACATTATAATGATTTATGCTTAGCTGGCAATCTTCACATCTGTTACCTATTTTCCCAATGAAACTATTAAAGTGCATTTTGTCCCATTTGGCAGATGAACATACCAAGGTCCTAAAATGGTTAGATGCTCACCCAGGATCCAACATTTATCTGAGCTTCGACTCCTCTTTTCTTGAAAGTAGTGACTTTTCCTCAATCTGAAGGCTCTGGGAGTAAGCCACTGCAGCCGCTGCCATTTGTGAAATTGTAGGTAATCCTCGAAAGCTCTGAGAAGTTCCTCCAAAGTAACAATTTTTGTCATTCTAGACCTAGTTGGATAATAATGGGTCCTCCTCTGAAGCTCTTCAAAAACCAGAAGTACCAAGACCTGAAGCAGGAATGCGTGAAAGATGGCCGGCTTTTCTGTGACCCTACCTTCCTACCGGAGAATGATTCTCTGTTTTTCAACCGGCTGCTTCCAGGAAAGGTTGTGTGGAAACGTCCTCAGGTACCTCATTTTTCTCCCCACTTCTGTCTCCTTGATTTCCTTTTAATTCGAAACTCCACGTGACCCACGATTTCACTTACATCAACTTACTATTCAGAAAATTTAGAATTCTGTCTGCTTTCTTCCTAGCTTTCACCGTTGATCTCTTTCTCTTTGTTCAGTTATAATTAACAAATTATATATATATATTACATGATGTTTTCCTATGCATGTACAATTTTAAATGACTAACACAAAAGAGATGATGTATCATCTGCTCACCCAGAGACAGTTTTAAAGTAGGCTTTAACTTGAAGAGACTAAAATTTGGTCAATCATATAAAAACGGTAACAATAGAATAGGAAATATACTGTACTTTTTCTTTTTATAACTTTGAGTAAATAATTGAAATGTAGAAAGAAACTATCCTCTTGTCTCTTTAGTTAGCTGCCTGTGATTCTGCCTTAAAGATTACCTCAGATCAATGAAGCCAATATCCTCTTAGACAGAGAGCATCAGAGAAATGATTTCTGCTTGAAGAACATAAAGGATGCTTTGGAGGAGGGAGGCTTTTCATCTGTTTATTGAATATCATTCACTTTGTCATTCTAGTATAAGCTAATGAGATTCACATATAACTGCAGTCTTTCCATACCCATTAATATTAGCTACTAATAGTTATTATTGGTCTTAATGGAATATCTATGTGCTGTGTCTCAGCAGAGCTCAACACATCTCCATAAACTGTATATGAACTAGACTCCAATATATAATAAGATACAGTGATAGAGTCTGGAAAATAATTAGCAATCTTGATTTATAGTTATGGTTGCAACTGGAAAAAAGGATAATTTAATGAAGATGTTTCCCAATGATAAGGTAGGGAGATATCATAAAGTGCAAGCTCTTGGACCTGAAGATTCCCTTTGCACAGAAATGTGTTTTAATATGTGGTTGTGAACTACCTTAGTCACTAACTCAGTGTTTGTCATCCTTAAGGAATCAACAATCATTTTGTTGCTGTTCTTGTTGCAATTTTCACATTAAAGTCTTAAATGGAATTTTAAGAGTTACTTTAGTTCATGTACATTGCCACCAGGTGGTGCCAAGATACATTGATCTCAATATCTCTTTTCTATACTTGAAGAAAGGGATGGGCCAGCTAAAGTTGCAAAGTACCTTCCTTAATATTATGGAAAATATTATATGTTTTTATGAAGAATCAAAGGCATCAGACCTGGATGCCTAGTAGCTAGTGTTGATTCACAACGAACGATACCTAATAAAAGCATAAGGCTGGAGCCTGGAACTGTAACTCAGCAATAAAGCAGAGGTTCAACCTTTAAGTTATTGGCAGATAATTTTGCTTGCTTGTAATAAAAGAAATCCAGGAAACATGAATAGAATCTGTTAACATGTTTAGGAATCCAAAGATGTAAAATATTTGAAAATAATATTTTCAAATATTATTTCAAATATTTCAAAATATTTGAAAAAAGGAGAGAGAATCAAACTTATGAATTGATGGTAATAACAAGTAGCAGAAGGAGCTAAAAAAGAAGCAGAGAAGTGACAGAAGTGTACATTGGATGGGTATCCTTTAAAAAATGAGCAGACTTGAGCGTAGTCACTGGCTAAGGAGTAAAGACCATAAAGAGTTTGAAGATGCAGGAGAGAGGATGACTGGTGAGGGTGAAGTCCTAGAGAAGACAGAAGGATATCTGGTGGGTGGCAAAGGTGGAAGGCAATTCAAAGTCATTTCTCAGATGTGAATGAAACAGACAGCATTTCTTCTGCTACTTTGGCTTTGGATGCATCGTCTCCCCTCTCTCTTGGCTGGGTTCTTTGTACTTTGTCTTCTTCTTCATCCAAATTCTGTAGATTTTATCCTAGATGGCTCCATAGGGATAAAGGAAGCTTCAATGTTAAGGACTGTGTGTATGTGTGTGTGGAGGGGCAAAAGAAATTGCATTCATGACATACCTAGTATGGACTGGATTATGTGTTGGACTTCTCTATGTATGATTTCACTTCATCCTTACTAACCATGGTTTAGCAAGGTAGGTATGTTACAAGTTCTTTGATGTGTAATTAGTGTTCCTGGTTTTAAAAAAAATAGCCTGTAGTAGGGCATGGTGGAACATGCTATTAATCCCAGCACTCAGGAGACAAAGGCATGCAAATCTCTGAGTTCCAGTCCAGACTAGTCTACAGAGCAAGTTCCAGGACAGACAGAGCTATACAGAGAAAGCTTTTCTCAAAAACCTAAACAAACAAATAAATAAGTATAACAGGGGTCTGCAACATGATTCATCAGGTAAGTACTTGCAGTCAAACTCATAGACCTGAGTTTGGTCTCTCGAACCCACATGGTGGAAGAAGAGAACCAATTTCCACAGGTTGTCAATCTGACTTCCATGTGTACATCATGGATGTCATGCATGTGCCCACCCCATCCCAAATAAATGTAGAAACAAAACAAGACTCAAAACAAGACTAAAAAAGTAGATATTTTGCCTTTCATATTGATGAGGAAATCAAGTCTTCCAGGAGAAGGTAAAGATTTACTCAGGTTCCAACCTCCACCAAGCTAAGATTTGACTCAGAACTTGACTTCAAAGCCCAAGTAAGTTTTATCTCCTATCATAATATTATTTGGGCTAGTTTTTTTTTTTACAAACACGCATTTATGTGACTTCCTTTTAGACAGTACTCACTTCATCTTCATTGTGTTGCTGCTGTTCTTCCATAAACTGATCCGTGTTCTCCCTTTGAAGAATAAGGTGTGAAAACAGAGTTAATAAACCCAAAGGAGCCAGATACTTGAAATGTTATTTTATAGCCTATCGTCAAGAAGCTACATAGAGTTTTTAAAGAAGAGTAGATCATCATGTAAAAATAAGGTTGTGGGATATTTTCTCTGAAAGCTATGGATTTTTTTTTGTTTGTTTTACAACTAGAATGGAGGGTAAGCCTGGGTTGAAGAACCATGCGACTATTCTCTGGCCTCCCATCAGGAAAGCTGACACACAGTAATAGGCTTCTCTGAATTGACTCAGGAAGAGCAGAGGGGTCGTTGTCTTTCATTGCTTTATTAGGGAAATTGAGATACTGGCTTGCTGGGAAGGGTACAGACATTTTCCCGTTCATCTTACCACATAACAAACATCACACTCAACCAGGGTTTCTCTTTTTCCTGGAAAGTTTCAAAATGGAGATGGCATGATAAACCAACTTGCCTCCTGGTCTGTACTCTACGTAAGTATAAGTGACTGGACAGGGAGCTCCATTCCACAGATTTTCTAAAATTCTATTTTGAGAAAAATCTCAATTTGTCATTCCCTTGACTCAGTCTGCAAAGTAGCTAGACTACAGGTGTGTGCAACTAAATCTGGCACACGTTTGTTTCCAGCTCTGGAGTTCAAACCCACACCCTTGTATATGCTGGACAAGCTCTCTACCATGATCCTTTACCCAATACTCTAATCTGGATGTCTCTGTTTCTTCCTTGTTCAAAGCTTCTACATTCTAAGACTACATACTCCTGAATACCATTGACATTTGAGGAAACTTAAGTCTAGGAAGCTTCCCAACTTCTTTGAGGTACAAGTGTGAGTTTCACATTATTCTTTCCCATTTGCAACTTTTCTTCTGTATTTTTTTTGAGACAGTCATGTTATGAATCCCAGGATAGCCTTATACTCATAATTCTTCCGCAGCAATTTCAAGTGATGGAATTGTAGGCCTGTTTTACTACACCTGGCTCTGGCTTGGTTTAAAGAAGCAGTAGATACACAGGAAATAAAAGACATTTTAAATTCGCTAATAGCAAATAACTATCCATATCCTCCATAGAAAACCTCTGTTTCTTTGCAAGAAGCCAGTGGCCCGATTTTCTCCTAGTTTTCTGGGTATACAAATATTTTCCATGTGCTCTTTATCTTTCTTTTATGCCTGAGAACATAAATTATCATCTTAATAATTCATGAGAAGTAAGTTCCATAAAGTTTCAGTGTAATAGTGAGTCTGCAGGTACACGTCCTAGGCTGAATTTGCATGCCAAATTCCCACAGAAATCTTTTCTCCAGTTTTCGTCTTTTCTCCAAGCACTCTGGCTTTTTTCCTGACTGACTCATACCCATCCACAATAGTGTCCCAGAGTCAGACACATCTAATCCCTGACTTACATGAAGCAAAGACTCATGGGAATTTGCACAGCCAGCTGTGGAAGAACAAAGGGCCCCTACACAAGATCTTCTGTCAACTCTCATGGTCAACTTCTAACTTCTGCAATCTACTGCCAATGGCCTTTGTTTAGTATGCCTTCATGGAGTACTCTACCCATTGGCCATTTTGTTACATTGCCTGGATTGAATGAGAGGGTAAAGAAGTACCAGGTTAAAATTATGGTCATAAGATTGGCAGGGGGAAATTTATGAAGGAAAACATACCAAGAAGAATATACCTGCTTGGGTAAAAGATATCCAGTGATGGAATAATAATAGAAGCAATACTTCTCTGTGTTAATAGAATTTCCATCTACTGGTGAACCTGGGTACAGTAGTTTGGACTTAGACTGCTCATGAGTTTCATCTGGTGTCCAGACGTTGTGTCTTTAGACAGAAAGTAATTCTAAGTGTGTTCTATTGTTTACACATCAGAATGTTGAATAGACTTGTATGCTTTATCCAAATGTTATACTAATTTTAAATTCTGTATTTCAGATAGTTTTCATTTTTCTTGAAAATGCAGTTTATATCACATGAAATTTACATGTTCGAAGTGTACAGTGTGACCATTTTTGGTAGATTGACAGAGTTGTCCAAATATTACCCCAATCCAGTGGTACAATAATAGCTGCATCAATCCAGTAACACTCTCATGTTCTGCCCAACTGAACAGGGGAAAACCCATGAGGCCTCAACCCTACACAAGTAACTATAGGCAACTGAGGAAACCTGGGAGTGGAAAAAGTAGCTTTCCCCAGGGAGCATTGAAAACATACATACAAATCACATTATACAGACTGAACAGGTTATATTTGGGAATGTATGTGTGTATACATATACATGTATGCATGCAATGACAATTAGTAAAAAAAAGAGGACAGAAATTTGAAGGAGTGAGGAGGTGGATATACGAAAGAATTGAAGGGAGTATGGAGAAGGGATAAATGATATAATTGTACTATAATCTAAAAAGTGAGAAAATTAAAAATAAAAAATCTCCAAGTTATTTCCCAGTAAGTTACTCCTTTCTCACCAGCTACCACTAATCTACTTTTATTCTGTCCAGATTTTTCTATTGTGGACTTTTCCACTAAAATGTATTCTTAAAGTTATACAGATTCTTTCATTTAGCATCATTTTACAGGTCATCCATGTTATAACATGTATCATGTTGGTCCTTCTTATTGCCTAAAGTTAACAGATATATACATTCTGTATACATGATGTATATATACATAGTGTATATATATGTACATTTATATATTATTATATGTACATTTATATATTATTAGTATATATATGTACATAGTATATATATATATATATGTACATTTATATGTAAATGTACATATATACATTAAAAAGACATATCAATTCTTCCCAGTAAAGAAGTTTTGTGTCTGTAGCTGAGTCTCATCTCATACCAGAGTTCAAAGTTTCAGATACAAATATCATTGGGTAATGATTTGTTTCTTTAGACTGGAAGTTGAAGTTGAGCGTTTGTCTGTCTGTTTGTTTCTGTGTTTTTGATTTGTTTGCTTTTGTTTTTGCTTACTGAGACAGGGTTTGTGGACCAGGCTGGCCTCAAACTCAAAGACCCACCTGCCTCTGCCTCCCAAGTGCTGGGATTAAAGATGCGCCACCACGGTCTGGCTGAAGTTGACTTTTTCTGTTGTTCTAGGTTCCGTACTGAGTTCTACTTGGAAGGAAGAGAATGTTGTATTGGTGCTAAAATGTTCCCATAGAAACAAACATTCCCAGTAGGTGAAGGCTAGATTCTTGAGAGAGCATGCAACATTGCTTTGTGAGCCTAGGTCTACCTATGAACTCCCCTTCTGGTTCAAGTTTCCGAGAATAAGATGATGGCTACTTGGGCTAGCTCACATGGTTCTCAGGTTCTCAATGGAAGTTTTATGCCAATTAGCTCCTACTCCTTCCAGGAATAGTTAATCATCAAGTACCTATTGAAGGACTGGCCGTATCCCTACCTGCTCCCTCAGCTAAACTGCACATGGTGCTTTTGAAATTGCCCCTACTCTTCTGGATGCTGGTTATATAAAGAATATTTGGTATTACTGTGGTTCCTGAAGGGAACCTGAATCTCTATGCTTTCTGCCTTCAAATGTTACTTGCATAAACAGTTGCTAAAGTTCTGCATGTAATTGTTGCAAGTAGAGTGAACTTTGGAGGGTTTTAGATCTCATAATGGAGATCCCATCAGGAATTTCTGGGAACAAGGATGAGGTGAGACTAATTGAGAAGTCCCTCAATGCTCAGCCAAGAGAATATATTTCCTAGAAAAGATCCCTTCTCTGCAGAACATTTATCTTGGGGTGATAGTATTTGGGAAGCACTCCAGTTTTTCTTATGTTCAATTTCTTAGTATTATGTATACTCTACCTAAGAAATTGCTTTGCTTTGCCAAACAGCTCAGTTCAAGAATCCCTTTAACTGTGCCAGCACATCTGGAGCCATTAGGAACACAGCATCTCCTACATCTCTCCCCTACTCTCAAGTCACCCTGATATTATGGATATGTGACCTCTTGCTGAACCTCATTCTTACCACACCAGAATGGCTCAGGCTGAAATGTCCCATCTATGCTCTGCTTCTCAGCTTGGAGTTACAGAAAAATGCTCTCAACCATCCTTCTTTAACTTCAAAAGGAAGCTATCTAGTGTGTCCCAATACATATTAAAAGTCACTTAAGAGCCTTTTCTTTTCTCTTTAATTTTCTGTTTCTTTTCAATCTATTGCTGAAAAGTTCTCACAGTGTTTAGATTTGCACTGGATTCTTCTTATCTTTTCTAATTCCTTGGCTGTTTTCTAGTCTTTTAATGTACATCCTAGGGCTTTAGTAAGGTTTCTTTCCCGTTTTCCACATCATGGTACGTGTATGTAGAACAAGCCTGATTTATACAGTCACTTGAACTCTGGAAATCAATACATCCTGGTGATTTTTTTTTCTAAAACGAGGAGCTGAGAAAATCTCGCAAAAAAATGGAGTTTTGAGCAAAGAAGAGAGTACAATATAGCGATGGATATCTGTGGGGGAGCTGCACAATATTATTCCCTTACACAGGATCATTTACAAGCTTAAAGAGAAAGGGATGGAACAGCCGAAATCTTAAGGTTCCTTTAATATTATACTTTTCTGAAGAATTAAAGGCTTTAGGCCTGGATGTCCTGGTGATTAGATAACCAGAGACTCAAGTGTCTGCCCCTATCTGATGACCCTGCTTCTTCCACTACTTTTAATATTTGATGACTGTTACTGTGTCTTAAAATACACTATTAGGTATTTGACATAAAACTTTAAAGTAATATAAGATTGTAAAGTATGCTATTGATAATAGCTATATCCAACTCATACAAGGAGGACAATAATTATCCAGTTTCTCATTTTGAATATGCTTATGTGTCTCTTTGCTCCCTTATGTGAGTAGAAGTTCACACATTCAAAGTATTGACTGGGTGTAGATTCCTGCTTATCTAAATTAAAAAATATTACAAAGTAACACCAAACCATAGTAACTCTCAATAAAACCAGCAAGGAATTTGCCTTAAAATATATAAAAGCACATTTTTTCACCTATCAATATTCACTTGGCTACTTTCTATACTAGGAAACAATCCTATATTTCATCTGTATCTGAGAAATTGGGGCATAATTTCATATCTTTATCCAAATAAAATGATAATGTCTGACTAAGGGAGGCGCAATGATGCTTCTTAATTTCATCTTGGAAAAAGCAGAGAAATAGAGAAATAGAGAAGATGCATCAGGATCTGACTCACCAAGTGCACCTGCTCCATGCTCAGTAAATGAAAAGACAAAGCAGCCGATGACCCATAAATTACTTAGTATGATAGAGGTAGTCTCCCAAGAGAAAAGGTGGTGATAAGGCACCAGACATGCGACTAGAAAATCCGAAGCTGACAATCCACCTAACCAACTCCTTTTGGCAGGTTGATGCACAATTAATCTTCAGTTTGGATTTGTCTCTGCCCAGAATGCCAATTGCTTTCCAGAGCAATCTTGGCTTTTAATAGGTATATGGAATGCTTCATTCTGTAGACCAGAGCCTTCACGAAAAATTATATCCATTAAAAATAGACATTACACACCAGAAAAATATAGCTGTTTCTATTTAATAATTTTAAAGAGTGTGCACCTAGATTTTCCTTCCATTTGCAACTGGTGTTTATTTCAACAGGATATGCAGAATTTCAACTTACAGGCCAATAACCACTTCCATGAAAATGTTTCCATTTATCAAGATTTATTGGGATTTGATATCTTTGAAGTCTTCTAGTGCTGATGCTCTGAGCCACATCATGTCTGCAATTATATGATGTCCCATATTTCTTTGCTTATGCCTGTCTCTTTTTCTGCTATGCCTCAATGTTTCTCTCCTGTCCAGTGACCTATCAGTAGTCAACTCAAGCACTCAGTCATTCATTATAGCATCCAGTCCACCACCAGATGAACTTTTCTCTAGTCACTGAATATACTTTCAAAGTGACTCCATTTTGTTTTCATTACATTTTGCTCTAGTTACATTATTTGGCTTTCATTTTTCCTACTCACAGTAGGAATGACCCAGCTAATGATATCAGAAGTAAAAATACATGTGTATTTCCCTAACAAATACTGCCCCCACTATGGGCCAGATAATTTGGAATATGCCTTGTGGGGAGAGTTTCTGTTGAAATATTCCTGTGAATGATCTATTAACGCCTGCTATTAAGGTTGCTGTCATTTGTATTCATATAAAGGTGAGGGTTGGGAAAGCTGGTTGTCACGGAAACTGCTTTGCTTTCTGTTAGAAAAGGACTTCCTGGATGATCTCCTAGCTCATTTGCCTGGAAAGGCAGATGCATTAATGTTATCCTCTATCAGACCTTGTGTCTTGAAGGTAATCACCCTTTTACAAGCACGGGTACTTCAGGGAAATATCATCCTGACAAAAATGAGATCAGAATGTATCATGCTAAGTCTTAGTTCTAGTCTTCCAATGTTCACTGCTATAGTGAAATGCCAATGACAAAGGCCTTCCAGCTGCAGATGCTCTCCTATCTTACCCTTCTCTCCTTCCATTTCTTCACCTATTCTCCATAGGGACCTTTCTCTGTGCATAGGTTCTCCACTGCTTTTTGTTTTCGCTAGAAATCTCCCCAACCTTTCCTTTATCCCATCTATAAAGCACCTAGCCTCACTCAATCGCTTCTCCTCTATAAAGGCTTAGCTCAGCTTGTAGTAACTTGAAAATCTCCTCCCTGACTACTGCATGACCAATTACTGTATTCCCCAGGACATTTCTGATGACCCCCATCTGATTGTGGGCAACATCAGCAACCACCAGCTGATCCAGGGAAGACTGGGGAACAAGGCAATGATCTCTGCATTTTCCTGTTTGGCTGTTCAGGAGTCACACTGGACAAAGGTATTACCCTCTCTGTGGAATCTTACTCTATTTCTGCTTTCTTCTTGAATAACTTGACAGCAAAAGAGTCAGCTCATAACTTTTCTAGATCATTCTGTTTCTTGAAAACAGAAATAGGTAACTTATTTCCATCGTAGGAAATTTTACAAATAAAGACAAGCTCAGATTTACAGTGAAAATCCATGTATGCTAGATTCTAACAATGACATTTTGAATAATAGCTTTGTGACATATACCAGTTGCTCACTTGCTGTCATGTCGTGTTTTGACTCAATATTTCTTCATATTGTATTCTTTGTACCAACTTGTTATTAAGCCAGTAGGAGCCAGAGAATCATTAACACATATATACATAACGGAAAAGGTGAAAAAAATAGAAAAGGATCCTTGAAAATGTTCTAACAAATTATTAATAATACAAAACTTCCTCCTTACTATTCAGATAAAATTCAAACAACAAAGAACATTTTATTTAGGACAATGAACATTTTTCAATAAAAACTGATTTGGACTCTTTATGTGAAGTTGCTATAAAAACAGAATTCCACAATTGTGATTTTTATTAATGATGTGACTAAAATCTGAATTATGTAGAATAAATCTACAAGAAACTCTAGATAGGGCAAACCAGAGTAAGGATTGTATTTGTATTGGTTTTAGTTTTTAAGATTCATTTGACTCATTTTATTGCTTATTTGTGTGAATGTGTGCAGTATGTATGTGTGGGTGCATTCTATGTGCAAGCATTGAGACTAGAAGAGGACATTTCTTATCTTCTCTTTGCTCTCTTAACCTAGTCATTTTGTGGCAGGGTCTATCTCTAAAGCCAGAACTCATGTTTTCTCCATTAATATGGAGGCCATCAGGTCCCCTAAATCTTCCTGTTTCTCCTATCTGAGGAGTTGGGGGAGCAAGCATTTACAGAGACACCTGGCTTGTTGCTTGGGTGTTGGGATCCGAACTCTAGTACTGATGATTATGGAGTAAATGCTCTCAATCAGTGAACTATTTCTCCAATCCTGATATTACTTTTAAATGTCTTGTTCATGTATTTAAACATTTGACTACAAATTTATGTAGATAGTCTCTTATCTAGTTTACTGATTATCTATGGGAACCCTGCTGACTGTCTCTTCAGAATCCTACACATTTAGGGTGGGAATGACAGATATGGTTATATTGCACACAGCAAAACTGCCCTATGGAAACAGAAGTTGTGGGGGGGGAAAATACCACACCCTAGGCTTTTCTAACCTAGACTCAAAAGCACGTGTATTTGAAAAGTTTCTGTTTGCTATATAGTTTTCTTAGGACTTCACTGTATCCTCTACATCTGGATGTAGTCTTGTAAGTAGTACTTGACTAACTGTTCTTACCTTTCCAGGCAATTCCCAACCATAAGGATCAGGAATGGGATCCTCGGAAGCCCGAAAAATATGCTGGAATCTTTCGCTTCCGTTTCTGGCATTTTGGAGAATGGACTGAGGTGGTGATTGATGACTTGCTTCCCACCATCAATGGAGATCTGGTCTTCTCATTCTCCACCTCCATGAATGAGTTTTGGAATGCTCTACTGGAAAAAGCGTATGCAAAGTAAGGAGGGGGTTGACTAGCCTGTGGTCATGATACAGGAAGAAAGAAAGATCATATTTGTCTTTTGGGCACTCATTTTGCCCTATTCAACACCACAGATAAAATTGGCTGCAGCTCAGTAAGATTAAAGACCTTTCTTTAGCCCTGGACAAGCCTCTCAAAACTCATAGATGCTTTGGTTTCTGTTAATTCCTGTCTCCTATGAAAATTTTCAGGTTGTTAATCTGAAATTCAAATGGAATTCTCATCTCCTTTTAACCCTGCCTGCAATCTGCCTGTAGGAAGAAGTTTCTACATGAACTAGCATTTATCAACATAGCCTATGCTTAGAAATTGTTAATTGTAATCTCTAAGTATTTCTCACTTCATATCCATAGAAAACCCAGCTTGTAAAGGCTGCACAAGAATTGCTTTAATTTTTGGGAGCATGTTGTCCTTAACTAATTTCACTGAGATAACTGCATACTTGCTTTCAGGCTTCTGGGCTGTTATGAGGCTTTGGATGGTCTGACCATCACTGATATCATCATGGACTTCACGGGCACATTGGCTGAAATCATTGACATGCAGAAAGGTCGCTACACCGATCTTGTTGAGGAGAAATACAAGCTGTTTGGAGAGCTTTACAAAACGTTCACCAAAGGAGGTCTAATTTGCTGCTCCATTGAGGTTTGCATTCACCCTAAACAATCACTTTATGCTCACATCTGGCACAAAAGATAACAAAATTTAGGAGGGAACATTGTACTTAACCCAGAAACTCACAAAAAGAGCCAATAATGACACTCAGAAAGCTAACATAGGCAAGGAGTCCTGGTTTGGAGACTGAGAAGATTGAATTTTTTTTATCCCTTTGAACCAGTCATTCCATTGAGGGCCACGACACTATCAAAGGTGGTGCAAATAACTTATGGTAAGCTATTACCATCATCTTGGCTCCTGGATATTGAACTTACAGCTGTTCCCTCAAAGAATGAATCTGCTTTACCACATGTTTTAAAATCACAGTTCATATTAATATAGGACAGTGATTATTTGGAATTTGATTGTTTAAAGTAAGTTGTTACGTTACATTATTTTCTCTCTTTCACTTGCTTTCACGGTAGATTAGACATTAGGATCAAATTTCCACCTGCGGAGAACTTGAATCAATCATACTGGGATGAACCAACCAAAATAGAGGGGAATCAGAACTTGGCTCTCCCAATTCCTATGACCTTACGTATCTTTATGTGCTATCAGTCTCCCAGCCAGGAGGAACAAGAAGTTGAAACAGACTGGGGTCTACTGAAGGGTTATACCTACACCATGACTGATATTCGCAAGCTCCGTCTTGGAGAAAGACTTGTGGAAGTCTTTAGTACTGAGAAGCTGTATATGGTTCGCCTAAGGAACCCATTGGGAAGACAAGAATGGAGTGGCCCCTGGAGTGAAATGTGAGTTATATTTCACTTTTATTGTTACACCTCCTTAGCTCTGTAGTTCGCCCAAATCTATCCCTCTCAATTGTTAGTGAGCTGTCAAATAACAGAGACATTTCTGGGCTTTAGTCAAGCATGTGATCTGCAATCCAGCCAGAGATAAAATAAAGAAGGCCTAGTCATCATGCATTCTCTTCTTTTGATGTTCTGGCAAGAATAATGACTTATTTTTTTATTCTTTATTTGTTTTTAGTTCGGAAGAGTGGCAGCAACTGACTGTAACAGATCGCAAGAACCTGGGGCTTGTTATGTCTGATGATGGAGAATTTTGGTGAGAAGATTTTTCTGCAACAAGGAATTTGGGTCTCTTATTAGAACTGCATATTAAGTACCATTTTCATTTCTTTCCTTATTCCCTTCATTTAGGATGAGTCTGGAAGATTTTTGCCACAATTTTCACAAACTGAATGTCTGCCGCAATGTGAATAACCCTGTTTTTGGCCGCAAGGAGCTGGAAACAGTGGTGGGATGTTGGACTGTGGATGATGACCCTCTGATGAACCGATCAGGAGGTTGCTATAACAACCGCGATACCTTCTTGCAGAATCCTCAGGTTAGAGTCAATTATTTTCCTTTGCCTTCAAGCTATCCAGCCAGTAAGAATCAGGACTCACTTTGCTCCTCTCTGGAGTATTCATTTAGCAGTAGGTTTTCAAATCTATTGCATAATATTCATCAACCATAATCCCCAGAGATTGACTCAGATGCTTGTGAGACCCAGAAGACAAGGTTTCTGCAGAAACTTACCTTGGTAATGTTTACAAATCTGAATCAATTTCTCCAGCTGCCTCTCTCTAAATGTTACAACTTAATTCCTGTCTTCTGGCGATAGTCTCAACACAGCAGAGTGGGGATCTGCTTCCAGATGCTGTCTCAGTTCTTCCTCCTTTGTCTTTACTGCCCAGTTGTTCACCTGATACATCGCACACATCATATCTTGTATTCTTTTTCATATAGGTTACCCTTCTGAAAACCATCATCATAACCTGCTTTTTCTTTTCAAGAATGAGGTCATTTTCCCCCTCAAGATGTAAATCGCTGCCCTGTCTGCTTCGAATTCAGTCTATTTACCACCACACTCATATTATATTATATGTCTGACCAGGCACATTTCAAGAAAACAACAAGACTCTCTCAAGCACCCCAAGCCTGAATTTATAATAGCCCATATGAGGATGTGCCAAGGCATAGCAGATATAACTCTGCCTCACTGTCCACGGGCATATCTCTTCTTCCTATAGATATTGCCTAGGCATTTTGGAGAACACTAAAGGTTCAGAAAACTGGTTTACTTAACTTATAATTTTCTTTTCTCTTTCCATCTTAATTGCCCGTCAGGAAACTTTATTATCGTTACCCCTTCCCTATGTAGAAAAGTTTCAGTACCTACCAAGCACCTGTACCAAACATGGAGAATGTTCAAGATTGACATTTGGAGCCCTTGCCTGGGTTGCTCAAATATCTGGGTTGGCTTTATGAATCTACCAAGGACTGTGTGGCGAAGTCTGGTTCAGTGGGATAAGAATGCTTTCCGTCTTTATGAATTCTGAAATGTTTCTGCATATAGCTTTGAATGCAAGGGTATAATAACAGGACGAAATGAATAACTTATCAGGAACATACGTATTAAAACTTACCCTCCTTGGCACCAAAACCCTAAAAATAGAGTTTTCAGTACATGCCAGATACCATAGGGAGAAGCAAGTATAATGATCTTTACTTAGTAGGGATTTAATTTTCCATTACATAATTGTCTGGTCAATAGTAAAGTCCAGAAATTAACCTGAGACTCTGCTTCCCATAAAAGAATTTTATTCCATAAAATATCAACTAGTTTATCTTAAATGAGATTGCTAATTCATCTCTTTGACTGCACCTTTCTCTCAGTACATCTTCACTGTGCCCGAGGATGGCCATAAAGTCATCATGTCACTGCAACAGAAGGACCTACGCACTTACCGCCGAATGGGAAGACCTGACAATTACATCATTGGTTTTGAGCTCTTCAAGGTAAGAACAGCATTTGGAGCAGAAAGAATACAAACATCAGAGTCTAAATTAGGAGATTTTAGAGTTAAGAGAATTATGAAGGGATAAAGAAGAGAACAGAAGTGGGATCTTCTAATATAAAAGCTCTGAGTTTAACAGAGCGCACTGCTTCATCTTCTTTGCTTCTAGGTGGAGATGAACCGAAGGTTCCGTCTTCACCACCTGTATATTCAGGAACGTGCTGGGACTTCTACCTATATCGACACCCGTACTGTGTTTCTGAGCAAGTATCTGAAGAAGGGCAACTATGTGCTTGTTCCAACCATGTTCCAGCATGGCCGTACCAGCGAATTTCTACTGAGGATCTTCTCGGAAGTGCCTGTCCAGCTCAGGTTCAGTTTTATTGTGATGCTCTTCCAACCCTTGTCCTCTTCTTTCAATTCTTGGCCTATATTCATTCCTCTATACACATACTCGATGAGATTATATGCTCAAGTCAGACCTCACTAATTGAAATGAAGGTAGTCAAAATATTTCTCAGAGTGGAGCTATGGAAAAATCCTCCAATGGAGATCTGAGATGTAGAGTCTTGATCTGGCTTGTAAGGGGAAAGAGCCAGTCTCTTAAGCTCTGCCACTTGTATTTTAACTTCAGTTCTCAGATTGGTACTATCTGTTACTGAGCTGTTGGCACTTTTCCTCGATCTCCTATCTTGTTCTCAGTGCTGGGGAGCCTAAGCTACTGTTCACTCCAGCTGTACCAACTCTAGTGTTGAAGTCCTATAAACCCGAGAAAAGAAAACCACCCTCAAAAAAAAAAAAAGCCACATCTGGGGAGGAATGGGATAGGTCACCCAGCTTCTTACATGTTTCAATAATGAATTCTATTTAGACAGGTTGGTTTCATCATGAAGTGACACATGTTTTTTTAATTAATGTTGTAGGGAACTGACATTGGACATGCCCAAGATGTCTTGCTGGAACCTGGCACGTGGCTACCCAAAGGTGGTTACCCAGATCACTGTCCACAGTGCTGAGGGCCTGGAAAAGAAGTACGCCAATGAAAGTAAGAACTGCATATATGGTTAGAATACATTACCAGCATTTATTATCTCTATTGATATTTTCAGTCTGGAGATTTCAACCCTCATAGAGAACAGAATCAGACTATGAAATCATAGCTTCTTGCCTCTCTAGAAAGGAAACTTAATCACTAGGTTTAAAAAACAAAACAACTGCCAAAATGTCACTTTCTTACAGCTGTCAATCCATATCTGATCATCAAATGTGGAAAGGAAGAAGTCCGTTCCCCTGTCCAGAAGAATACTGTGCATGCCATTTTTGACACACAGGCCATTTTCTACAGAAGGACCACTGACATTCCTATTATCATCCAGGTAAGACTGAGCAAGGGACCTTAGGCAGTTTATGTTCTCTACCACATATTAGCTTTTCCCAAGTATATCACGTTTGGAGGATACAGAGCAAGTACTAGTATTTATTTGGTTTATATTCAGAACATTTCCAATTAAACAAAAACACCAACTTCATCTTTGACTTAAAGCTCTTGACTTTATATCCCTTAGGCAGAGGACCATATGCTCATGACTATACTTGTGAGCACATGTACTATAAAGTCCCATGAAAGCACGTATTTGCTAGTTCTGTTAACCCCTATATTGCTAGGTCAATATGGATAATGTCAGTCTGGCAGTATTTCTGGCCTAACACTTTTGACCAGCTGCCTTTATGTAACAAACCCACAAATAAAAATGATCCCTAGTCTACTTTGATCTATATTATTTGTAACATTATCTTCCTAATCAAAGGGTTATCAGGAAAAAATAAATATGTCACTTGATGTACATCCTAGATGTCACTGGCTGCATCAGTCTCACAGTTGGTTGTTGATTTGTCTCTTCAGGTCTGGAATAGCAGAAAATTCTGTGATCAGTTCCTTGGGCAGGTTACTCTGGATGCTGACCCCAGCGACTGCCGTGATCTGAAATCTCTGTACCTGCGTAAGAAGGGTGGTCCCACTGCCAAAGTCAAGCAAGGCCACATCAGCTTCAAAGTTATCTCTAGCGATGATCTCACTGAGCTCTAAGTATTCATCATCAGTGAATCCTGACAGCTTTCCATCTTCTTTTGTCAGGCACTAGGTCTCAACTAGGATTCACAGTTACTGAAATTCCACATTTATTAATGTTTTTCCCTTTTCTGATATTTCCCATACCTCCTGATCCAAGTAGCATCAGTAGCTACATAACCTATATACCTCCAGCAGCTGGACAGGGGAGGTGACAATCCCATCTGGAGATCATATATACATTTACTGAGAAAAGATCCTTAGGGCTTCCAGGGGTGCGATTCAAACGGGACAATAACAAGAATCTGGACAGCCTACATGTGTCTTTGCTGTTTTCACCTGGCCAACAAATCTTCCTTGTAGGGCATTTTGATGGAGGAGAGAGGTGATCAAGGCCAAGCTGGTCTAGCCTGACATCCCAGCTCCTAACTGACACTACAGATTTTTCAGCAACATTTCACCAGTAGCCAGAGCTGTCTTTTAACAGTCCCAGCCCTTACCACCACCACCACCACCACCACTACCACCACAGTCACTACCACCACCACCTCTGGAAAGTGTGGTCCTGCCCTAACTCAAGTAACTCCCCCACAGTGTTTTACCTTCATGTTGAGGAAGCTTCCTAGGTGCTTAATCAAGAGCTGGAGTTCAATGCGGCTGAGACAGTGAGAAGGGCTTGAGCTTTAGCAATTTGGAAGCCAGCTGTGTGCCATAAGAGGGAGAAGTTGAAGAAGCTGCAGTGGGAGACAAAGCCTCGGTCCCCCACCCATCCACACACACCTACACTCACACACGCGCATGTAAGCGCGCACGAACTACCATCCAGTCAGTGGGCAAGAATAAGGACTAGTGAAGTATCATGCACACCAAAAGATGGATGAATCTATTCAGTAATAGGACAGCCAGTTTGGGGTCCCTGACTACAATGTGAAACCTCTTGCTGCTGCTAGATTTATAAACAAGCCCATTGCCCTGTGCTTCCTAATATCATTGGTACTGAAAACTCTATATGGGAACTTGAGAGGTCTGGATCCCACCTGGACCAATCAGGCTTTTCCCTCTGTTGGGAAGCTCCACTCCCCAGGGTTTGTTTTTCAGTATGTCTACAAAATTTCCTTGTGAATCAGTCATTGTATGTTCTTCCCTTCAATCTCATCTATCAGTATTCTGCCCCTATTCAAGGCCCAGCATAAATTCCACCTCCTCCATGAAGTTGTTTCACATCTTACCCGAGCCCCATCTCCAACAATATTTCAGTGCTTCTGCAATGATAAAAAAAAAAAACATAGTTGTAGTACTTAGTCTAGTTCAGCATGCATTCATTTAAACATACATTTTGTAGCTCTCTCTTTTGTAACTTGCTCATTTTCTATCACATTTTTGCAGTCTTTGTAACTTTTACAGTGCCTTTGCCACACTGCCTTACAAACAAAATCACAATAAAGTTCATATTCAATAAATTGACCAGTCTCGACTAGTTAATGGTATCGGAGGGATGGCAAGGGTGGTTATCTATCAAGACATGCTTCAGAGCTATTAGAAGCATCACTGGTGGGTGCTTTGTGAAACTGTAGCCCTGGGGTAAATCTGATGATTTTAGTCCTAACCCAAATGATCCCTTTACGATGTGGAAGCTTACTAAGTTTTTAATTAAAAGCTGGAATTCAGTGAGATTGAGACTGTAAGAGCCCAAGATCAGCTGCACTCTGGTGGTGTAGTTGTTTCAGTAGATGGTGGGTGATTGGTAGAATTGTGAAGGGCTTTCTATTTTTAGGGTGATAATTGGGGATACATATTATTGAGTCCTCCTGGAGCTATACTCAAGACCAAAGCTGTCCAAAGGAAGATCTTCTAACAAGGGAAAACAGTACTCTTCTTCCTAAGTCTTTTCCCAAGTCAAACGGATATGGATGGAGTCTTCGACTTATTTGCTTGTACCCTCAATTGGTCTTCTGCTCATCCCACGACAGGCTAGGAAGGAAGTTCTCCTCATTGCCCTTATGCTATGCCTCTTGATTTGAACAGATGCTTCTCCAGGGGAGGGGTCTTACTCAGCAAAAACAACTCTGAAAGACAACCCTCAATGTTGTTCCTTATGATGTGATCCCAGAACACACTACAGTTTTATATAGTGTATAGTTTTATTAAAAATGATGATAATGTAATCATTCTATGTGGTCACCAGATGGCACTATGATATTACAATTAAGATCAAAGAAACAACACTCTTAAGTATGAAAATTTTCCACAAATAAAAGAGAGAGAAAGAAATCAATCTTTTTGAGTATTTACTGTGCACTTCATCCTATGTTCAACTCTTTATGCAGGAAATTTTATTTTAATGTCCACACAAAGTATCAGAACTCTTCCTTCTTTAAGATAAACAATGTAAAGAAAAGAGACATTAAAAAAAAGTTGCTCACAGTTACTCAGCTAGTAAGCAACAGGTTACAGAAAATATCCCTTTGACTATCAAACCTGGGCCCCTTTGTAATGAAAGTAGGTTGCACATCAGAAAATGATATTTCATATTATCAGTGATGCATCATCAGCTTTGCATCAAGAATGGAGCAAAAGACATGCTAAATATGTTCCTGTGGAATCTTTATTCTCAACTGATATTTCATATATATTTATAATGTTTAAGTAGATTTGCATAAATGTACTAAAGACATATTGGGATGAATTTATGCAGGGTAGAATAACTATGCTGAGTGAAAAAGGCTAGATTGCTTGATTTCATCTATACAAAATCTAGGAAAAGCAAGCTACTATGATGGCAGATTAGCACCTTCTTCATGAAGTAAGGGAGGAAAGGAGTATAAGCAGCCCGAGTAAACAAATTCAAGGCAGCTTGCTGCAGGGATACCTTCCTGCGCTTATTGCAGCACTAATCACAATAGTCACACTATGCAGTTAGCATCTTGATTGCTGTGCTGACTACCTGAGTATATGTAATTTTCTGGGTTCAACTGAATATTGCTGAAAATAAATGTTTATAAAGTGAAGCCTCATAGCCATTTCATGCTCCCTCAGTGCTATTTTGAATTTCAGACATGTATATCTAAATACAAGCTCAAATGAGGGCTGGAGAGATGGCTCAGCCAGTAAGAATGCTTCTTGCTCTTCTAGAAGACCCATGTTTGAATCTTAGAACCACATCAGATAGCTGATGCTCCTGTTCTATAGGACCTAGTGTCATCTTCTGGATTCTACTGGAATTGCATGCATGTGGTACACATATATACCTGCAGGTAAAACACTCATACACATAAAAATAATACTAAATTAATTTTAAAATAATTAAAATTTCAGGGCTGGAAATAGCTTTGTGTGTGTGTTTGTGTGTGTTGTGTTCTTTCTTTTAAAATTATCGTTTGTATTTTTGTTGTTTGTTTTCCAGAGAGAGAAGGCAAGCCTTGGAGTTGGGTGAGGAAAGAGGTGGCAAGGATCTGGGAGGAGTTAAGTGAGGAGAAACCACGAGGAAAAGATATTGTGTGAAAAAATTCAATTGAAAATTTAAAAAGAGCACTTCCAGCTTTCTCAGAGGGCATGCTAGGGATCTCAGCACTGATTCAGGAGGCTCACGACAGTCTAAGGACAGTTCCACTGACAGTGATGCTCTTTTCTGGCTTCCACAGGCACCTTCCACACACGCAAGTGACAGACACTTCCTGTGATGGTTTGAATGAGAATGGCACTTATAGTTGATTGCCTGAAGTTGGTAGAACTGTTTGGGAAACATTAGGAGGTGTGGTCTTGTTGGAAAAGATGTGTCACTGGCTTTGAGGTTTCAAAAGGTACTAAAATTGTAGGAAAACGATCCTTCAACAATTCTTACTCTCTTTCTGAAGGTAGAAGTCTACCTGTATTTTATTTAAGTGATTTGAAGCATGCTAATCCCACTACTTAAAACCATTTAAATTTGAAAGAGGCTTTAAGTTCATTGGCTAATATTTGTCCAAGAGGGGTGGGGGAGAGAGAGAGAGAGAGAGAGAGAGAGAGAGAGAGAGAGAGAGAGAGAGAGAACACTCACTTATGCTTATTATAGAATTTAGTTGTTAATGACCTCATTCTATACTATAATATTGTTCAGTGTAACATTGTCTTCTGACTTGTCAGATAAAGCAATTCAGTTTTACAGTTTCTAAAATTAAAAGCTGTTTCTTGTTATAAGTTTTATACTTATATGACACTGTAATCCATCCATGCTCACAGGGGAGAACTCAAGCTATTTGAATGTTCTCTGTCTTCTCAGCAAGACCTTGGAAGCACAGAAAGACAAATCTTATTACTTAATATAGTTGGGAATGGTGACATGTGGAATTAATACGGAAGTCTCTGACAGAAAGGTGATCAGGAGAAGCAGTAGATCTGGCACTGGGGCTGGGCATAATATCCAGCCTATGTCAAAAGAGAAGTGCCATATAATGTTTATTGCTTTGATTACTACACACCCTGTTGAGATCTGCATGTAATTGTAAAAGGTGATCTCCCTCTCCCTCCCCCCCCATTCTCCCTCCCTCCCTTTCTCTCAGCATTTCTCTTTGATGTCAATGTAGTCTTGCTTCTTTTTTTGTGGGGGATGTATATTTCTAGAAATTAAGACGTGGTGGTTTGAATGAGACTCATCCCCACAGGCTTATTTGTTTAGATATGTATAAATCTATGGATACATATGGTGGAATTGTTTGGGAAACATTAGGAGGTATGGTTTTTTTCTTTTTTTTTTCTTTTTAGAGGGTGTGTGTCGCTGGAAGCAAGTTCTGATGTTTCCAAGGCCATACAGTAACCCAGTTAGCTTTCTCTGCCTCACACTTGTGGATCAAGATGTAATTGCGCAGTGATGCTGGCTCAGGATTGGCAGATGGCATTAGTAGTGGTGGTATTTAATATATGTGTGTGGCAAGCAAATAGATGCCAACCTGGCACCTTGGAGCTGATGCCTCCAAGAATATACAGTACAACCACAATTTGTAGTTAGCACTTCAGGTTTTAGACACATTCTACTCCAGTAC